AAAGTTGATAATGGCTGAATGGGTGTATAACACCTAATCACCCTTGTGATTGTGACACAATGGATACCAATCAAATGCTTTTCTTTCTTCATATTTTTCTCAACCTGGAAGTCAGGAGACCCCACTATTATAAGCAAATTCATGATGTATTGATTGTCATTACTTTGGATTTCTGCTGTTGTACTGTAAAGCCACAATAAAAAGGTGGGTACTAAGCTCACTCCGCGACTCCCTCGTCCATTCCACACTCCTCACCAACCCCACCAACCCCCAGCACCTTTCCCTGCAACCACGCTAGGTGCTACACCTGCCCCTACACTTCCCCACTCACCTCCATCCAAGGCCCAAGACAAACTTTCCAAATCTGACAGAGGTTCACCTGTACATCCTCTAATCTGGTCTACTGTATCCGTTGCTCCTGATATGGCCTCCTCTACATTGGCGAGACCAAGTGCAGACTTGGTGACCGACTTGTGGAGCATCTGCGCTCTGTACGCTATAACCAACAACACCTTCCGATTGCCTACCATTTTAATTCCCCCTCCCATTCCCTTGGTGTCATGTCCATCCTGGGCCTCCTCCAGTGCCACAATGATACCACATGCAAACTAGAGGAGCTAGAACACCTCATATTCCACCTCGGGACCTACATCCCGATGGTATGAACATAGAATTCACCAGTTTCAAAATCTCCCCACCCCCGGCCTCATCCCATGTCCAACTCTCCCCTCTCATCCCCGCCTCCTTGACCTGATACTACCTGTCCATCTTCTTTCCCACCTATCTGTCCCACCCTTCCCACTGACCAATCCCCACTACTCCCTATCTGCACTCACCTATCACCATCCCACCAACCTTGCCCCAGCCCCACCCCTCCTCCCTTTATTTATTTCCCAGCTCCCTTCCCCCTCCCCGATCCTGAAGAAGGGTCCCAACTCAAAACGTCAACTTTCCTGCTCCTCTGATGCTGCCTGGCCTGCTGTGTTCCTCCAGTTCCACACTGTATTGTCACTATAGAAAGGTTTTTGATATGCAGTTCACAAGCATTGAAAAGTATTAGTTGATTTAGTTATCAATCGATTCCATAATTGTTTACATTATAAGAAATGGAGAGTTTAAGGAGCAAATACTAAAGCTTCACTCTTGGAACTTCAGAAAGAAACAACCTTTTTGTTTAAGTGTTTCAAAGAAAGGCACCACAAACCAGCCATAAAGGTCAGCAACCCATCAAAGAATGGTGGGAAAAGAGGAAGAGGCAATGAACAATAATTTGCTTAAAGTGAATTGAATGAAAATTGATTGTAATTTCTCTGTCTCACTAATCAGTAGGAGTGCCACAGGTGAATGAAGGGGAGATGAAAATACATAAGACAAATAACAACTTTTCCGTAATTTATTGTTATGAAAGTTTAGCGCTGTTTGTGACTCCTCAGATACTGAAACATGTTATGTCCAAATGTCCAACATCCAGGCTCGGGCTGAAAAATAGCACCATTTGTGCCATACAAATACCAGGTAATGACTATCTCCAATAAAGACAAATCTAACCATCACCACTTGATATTCAATGGCATAAACATTGCTGAAACCTCCACTGGCAACATCCTTTTTTTTGGGGGGTGCATGTTGTGGTGGTATGTTACCATTCATCAGAAACTGAATTGGACTAGCCAAATAAATAGTGGCTAGAAGAACAGCTCAGAAGCTAAGAATATTGCAGTGAATAGCTCACCACCTGACTCCCCCAAAGCCTGTTCACCATATACTTGATTGAAATGAGGAGTTATGAGGAAATACTACCCCCCCTCCCCCGCAACTCCCGGCCTGGATAGGTGCAGCTCCAACAACACTCGAAGCTTGACACCATTCAGGACAAAGTAGCATATTTGATTGGTACAACATTCACAAACATCCAATCCCCCACCACCCACACTCAGTAGCAGCAGTGTGTACTATCTATAAGGTACAGTGCAAAAATTCACCAAAGATCCTCAGACAGCACTTTCCAAACATGACCAGTCCCATCTAATAGGACAAGGACGACAAATACATTGGAACACAACCATCTACAAGTTCCCCTCCAAGTCATTCACCATCATGACTTGGAAATATATTGCAGTTCCTTCTCTTCGTTAGGTCAAAATCCTGGAATTCCCTCCCTAGTGACCTTGTGAGCTTACATATAGCACATAGACTGCAGCAGTTTAAGAAGGCAGCTCACCACTGCCTTTTTGAGGACAACTAGGGATGGTCAATAAATGCTGGCCCAGCCATGATACCCGCCTCCCATGAGTGAACAAAAAAACCTTGATGTTTTGTTTCGTCCCTCTAATTGCACTTAACTCCTTAAATTTTGGGACTTGGGAAATGCAATGATACAGGAGTGATTATAAAACCAAGTTGCTGGTCTCCATTTATTGATTGATCCTCTGTTTTGTTACATGTGTTCAGCTGATATTCGTATTTGCATTCTCAGAAGAAGGGCTTGTAAGTATTCCACAATGTGTATGATTTACTTCTAGCCAGAACTTGAAATAAAAGTCGATTCAGAGATAGTAGGAACTGCCGATGCTGGAGAATCTGAGATAACAAGGTGTAGAGCTGGATGAACACAGCAGGCCAAGCAGCATCAGAGGAGCAGGAAAACTGATGTTTCGGGTCCGGAACCTTCTTCAGAAAAGTGCTTGTTTTACTTGTGCTTGTTTAGACTACATACTGTATGTTTTGAGATAAAACTAGAACATTATTCCTTTATGATGTAATTTGCTAGTTTACTATCCTGTAGTAATCTCAGATCTTAATTTGAGGTTCAAGTTGACTGCTTGGCCGTGATGTATGAATCAACCTAACAGAACAGTTGCTTCGTTTTTGCATTCTGTCTGTTTTTAAAAATGACCTAAGCCTAAGGACTCAATACCTGATCTTTAATATGTTTTAATCATGGAAGTTTCAATTGACGGCCACATTTCCGTTACCATTTTGATGTGCAAAAGTGCTTCCTAATTTTGCTATCCATCAGCTAAACTCTAATCTTAAGATTACAGTGTATCCCTGATTTATGAATGTCCAACTTACAAATACTCGTACATATAAATACAATTCCATACAGAAGTATAATTTTAAATATCTGACATATGAACATTTTCCATACTTACCAATGGCTATTTTATATTTTATGCATTATGTTCAGATTTGAGTACAAATCAACTTGTGAATAGATCCCAGAACGGAACCTGTTCACTACACAGGGACTGCCTGTATTTACGTGTGTTATGAAGTGCAGCTAGACATGAGTTGTCTTTCCAGAATATTTTGTGGTCAAATGGAGAAAAGTTGTCTTCATGAAGACTTCATCAACCCTCAAAGCAGTAAAATGGTTTGGTTGAGCTCCAAGATAAGCCATGTGTCAGGAACTAGAACCTCAAATATGGTCTATTAACTATTCAAAATAATGAAGTATGGGCAACCTGCCATTGATTAAACTCAAAAGTCTGATTCTAAAATAGGAACAAGATTGTTTGTATGATGCAATAGCATCTGGGATCCTTAGTGACTTGAAACATTAACCTATGAGTTGATATTGATTCAGATAACTAGATGATCCATTGTGCTTTTCTTTCAAATTAATCAATACAATTCAATTTATAGTATAAATTCATAAATACATTGTAATTAGACATGCACAGTATGTTATGCTAAATCTTTATAAATCAGCCATTTTGTGTGTCCTTTCTGCACTACCCTTTAGCAAAGACTTTAAGGCCTTGGAGAGAGAGGAAATTCAGGGATTAGTAACTTTTAATTATGCAGAGACCAAACTGGTTTTTCTTGGAACAAATAAAGTTAAGGGAAAATTTTAATAGAATGGAATAGCATGAATTTCTATAAGTGGTTTGTATTAGCAGGGGAGTCTGTGACCAGAAGTTACACATTTAACATAATGCATAAAAATGCAAGGGAGCACAGATGATTTTTTTGCTGAGGTGCTGTGATGTAGAAATCATTGCCTGAAAGGCTGATAGAAGCAGATTCAATAATATGCATCAGAAGAAAATTGGATGAAATATTGAAAAGCAAACATTTGTTGTGCTATTGGGAGAGAGCAAGGACTTGGAACAAATTGGACAGCCCTTCCAAGGAAACAATCTTCTGTATTTTTCTAGGGGTCTTTTTAAAAAAAGACAATTTTATGCCTGAAGGCAATTTGGACTGGGCGTTTTTTTAACTTTACTGCTGAGGTCTGACTTTAAAACAACAAAGATCAATGTAAATTGACTCTACCAGTGATTTCAAGAGTATTCCCTTAGAACCAGATCAAACCTCGTTCTCAAATTATTTTTACACATACAGCAGTGTTTATTGAAGTCATTTACCCATATCAGTTCTAGAAACATTTGACTACTTACATCGCACTGCAGAAGATGAGGAATTGCTTCATGTAATGTTGCTGTAAATTGCTAATCAACACCCTACCCGGCCAGCTATATATACACACACGCACGCAACACAATGCACACACAACACAACGCACACGCAATACACATACAACACACACCACCTCTCTGGGTCAGCAATGGATGTACAAACATAACCTTAGAACCACTGAGTGTTTGTGCAAAATACAAACATTTGGCATTCACACCATTGATGCACAACAGGAAAACCAACTAGCTATTCGAGCAAATCTAAAATTAACTCAGAGTTGCTGTCCTGTCTTGTTTCCGTATTCAGAAAAAAACTTACTGACTAAAACTTTGTTCAATTTCCAGAACAAAAATGCAGATTTGAAAAGCACTTGCAGTCATTTTCCTGGGCCGAATGTACTATAATGCACTCAGTGGATATTTTTTGGTTTGTGAGAGCATTGATTGCACACCTTTCAGAGGCTGCACTTTTAGTCTTGTGCTCATTAAAATAGAACCCACAATTACATAGATTTTTACGGGTCTGTTGCAATATTTGAACTTGCTAAATTTTTCTTTAAATACGCTTTTACTCACCTCTTGATTTTGTTTTTCTCTTGCTTGCTGATTTTGTGAGGAAGTGCCTGAGACTTCCTCTTTGAGGGCGTTGCTTTATACATTTGAGCAGCCAGGCTAACTGCCCATTATGCCACTTCAGCACAGAAAAGCCTGTTTATTCAGAAAGACATTTCATCAGTTTGGTTTCCAAAGTGCAAACCACTTTTGAATGAACTTGATTGTGCTGTTTCCTTAACGGATGTCAGCCCAGCCTAGTTTGATCCCCTGTCTTGAGAATATAGGCAGATGCTATTCAGCATGAAGACATGCACGTAGGCTTTTCTTTTTGTTTGTTCCAAAGTTACTAAAAGCTGTAGCATTTTGTTAATTAAATACATTGGCTTTTCGAGGGTTCTGTGACAGAAGGGCAGAATTATCTCATGCCAAGCATGTTTCTTAGCCTAGATTTGCCACTTGAGGGAGTTGCCAGGTGTTCTGGGCTGCTTTCATGAGTGGTTAGTAATGAATGTGATTTGCCTTTTCCATATTTTAACCCAAATAATGTTGTGTGGCAGGAGAATCTAAAGGAGTGAAAAATAAACTTTTAAGAATCTGTACTAGTTGTGCATAACTGTGCTGTCACCATTCCTACATACTTGTTTTAATAAATACCGGAAGGATGGGTTGTTGCGGTGACTGTAGTGATGTTTGTAATTTATCCAAAAATAGTGTGTACTGTACATTGCAATTTTCTTTTGCACTGTTAAAGTGATGCCAATGTTTGTCTTTAATTTGGAGTGCCATTTTCTTCAAAAAACAGAAAGCTCCTTGTTGCAACATCAAGTATGCATTTTGACTCCAGTAATCCCTTCAGTCCTGGAAGAGTTAAAGGAAGAGGGAGTTTCCTCAGTAGGATTGATTCCAAGACCCAGTCTGTATCCTGAATACAGATCTGGTGCAGGGAAAAGAAAAATTCTGAAAAAGACTCAAAGACTCGGGTTGGAACTTGGCATCTAATGTAAAGTCAATGTTTGAAACTGTGCATACAGTAAGAACTTTCATTTGAATGGTGTTTCTAACATTATAAAAACCCCCAAGATGCTCCAAGAGCTGGGAAAAAAAAAAGCTGACAGCTGAGCCAAACAAGAAGATTTTTGGTCAAGTTTCCAAATGTTCGTTAAAAGTGGTAGTTTTAAAGCACCATCTTAACAGAGGAAAAGGAGAGAGAGAGAGAGAGAGATTGAGATTGAGAGGCTTGGAGTGAACTCCAGAACTTAGGACCAAGGTGGCTAATGGTATGGTTCACTGCTGAAGTGAAGAAAGTGAATGATAGATATGAGTTAGTGAGTCATTAGTGTATGATCTAGTCCCTTGAATCTGTTCTGCCATTTAATGCGATCATGGCTGATCTGTGATCCAGCTCCACATACCCAGCTTTGCCCTGTGTCCTTTAATATGTTTAGATGACAATAAGCTATCAACCTCAGTTTTAGAAGTAACAGTTGATCCAGCATAAGTTGTCATTTACAGAGTTCCACATTTCTAGCTCTGAGTGAATGTTTCCTGAATTTACTCCTGAAATGTCTGACTGTAATGTTTAGACTATGTCTGTTATACACACATTCAGCAGGAATAGTTTCTCTCAAGGCTATCCCATAGCTTCCCCTGAATATCCAATAGTCAGCGCAGAAGGAACCTATTTGGCCTGTTATGTTTGTTCTGGTACTCTGCAAGAGCAACATACTTCTAGTCCCACTCCCCTGCCATTTCCTGTAGCCCTGCAAATCTTCTCTTCAGAAAATTGTCCACACTAAAGCCACACTTGAATCTGTCTCTGCTGCTGTGTTAAGTGGTGCATTTCAGATCCTAATCACTTATGGTTAAAAAAAAATTTGTAATGTTGCCTTTGTTTCTTTTTTGCCAAACATGTTAAATCTATCGTTGCTCTGGTTTGCAACATATTTTGCAAAATTCCAAGGTATAAATGCCAGTTTGTGTAATTTCTTCTCATACTGGACTCCCAAGGGTCGAGTTATCATTCTGGTAAATCTATTCTGTGGTCTCCCCAAGGCCACATTGCCATTCCTAGGTATGGTGGCCAGAACTGTTCTCAGGACTCCAGATGTGGTCTTACCAACACTTTAGTTAAGGAAACTATGATTTAGAATCCCTCCGAAGAGCATCCCAGCCAGACCCATCCCCCCACCCTGTCGCTGTAACCCTGTATTTCCCATGTCTAATCCACCTAACCTACACATCGCCTGGACACTATGGGCAATTTAGCACAGCCATTCCGCCTAACCTGCACATCTTTGGGAGGAAACCGGAGCACCCAGAGGAAATCCACGCAGACACCACAAGAATGTGCAAACTCCACACTGACAGTCTACCAAGAGTGGAATCGAACCTTGGTCGCTAGTGCTGTGAGGCAGCAATGCTAACCACTGAGCCACCATGCTGCCCTATCTCTTTGTGTTCAATGCCTTGTATTCTAGGTGGGAAATTATAGTAAGATGAAGTACTGTACCATTGATCTGCTAGAAGGATTTTCTTAGCTGAATAAACTGCACATGCTTGTACCATGGTATTAGAAATCAAAGTGCCAGGTTAATTGCACACAAACTAATTAACAACAGTGCATTGTCTCAAGATATGAATGATTGCACAGGTGGGTACAACACTAACTTGTGACTGGAAAGGATATAAACCTTAGATACCTGTAATAATGGACTCAATTGCCTGTGGCTTTTAATATCATTTTGTTAATACGGTGTTGCCAACCATTTTGCAAAGTGCTCCTGATCTGCAGGGAACTTTGAAAAGTAATAAGGAACATAAACTCTTAATGATGAAACCTCAGTGAGGAAGTTCTCCAAAAGGGCTGCTTGATCCTTCTGGATCATGAGAGAAAAATATTGCATTCAAGTGGTGACTCTGTGTCCACCAGAATGTCTTAAGTCTAATAACTGATATAGCGTTCTGCTGCTGACTTCCAATATTATTATTTAAATTAAATTGCACTGCTGAAGACCTTCACTACTATTCAGTTATAGCTTTCTGGGCTGTGTGTGCATCAACTTTCAGTTCCTTGCTTGGCGTGGTTTTCAATTGCCTACAGGGGTTAGGAAGTCAGTTTCCTGATATTAGCATCAGTTTACTTTTATTAGCTAATCTGCCAAGTGACATAGTTATTCAAGCTTCAACTATGTCGTTGATGAATCTTGGGGCATCCTGTCTCTGTAATCTCCAGCATGGCAACTTATCCATGCTCCTCTGATTCTGGCCTCTTATGCATTTCCTAGTTTCATTGGCAGTTGTGTCCTCAGCTGCCTAAGCTCAAAGCTCTGGGGCTCCTTCTCAAACTTCTTTGCTTCTTGCCTTTGAATGCTTCATAAAACCCGTCCTAATAACTGTCCTTCATCCGTCTTAATAACTCATTATGTGGCACCAAATCGAGTTCTGTTTGATCATGCTTTGCGAAGTACTGTGGTGCAATTTGCAGTGTTACGTGACTTGAACACTGTTATAATATCATCAGCTATACAATGGGCAGCTATCTTATCTGCCATCTCCAAGGTGCAGAACTGAGAGAATATTATACTGTTGGAGGCACATTGTTTGGGATGAATAGTCAAGATGATGCATTTGTGTGCTCTCATGGACAAAACAATCCCATGCCAATGGTTTGAAATACAGCAGCAAGTTATCTCCCGTGTCATCGCCAATATTCTGTTTCTTAACCAACTTCACTGAGATCTTGTTATTATCACGTTGCTGCTTGTGGGACCCTGCTAAGTGCAAATTAGCTGTCACGCTTCCTTCATTACAACAGTGACTACACTTCAAAAGTACTTTATTGGCTCTAAGGCAATCTGGGACATTCTGAGGCTGTGACAGGTGCTGTAGAATTTGAAATCTCTTTCTTGAAAATAAATTAACACCATAAAATGTGCTCTGAATTGTTTCAAATTGGCTAATTCTCCTATAACGGATGCAGGCACCACTAATGAGAAATTGCCTGACTTCCTGATAGCCAGGCTGCCTCTGCAAATACTGTATGGTACTTGATTCTTGGGAAAGCATGGGTGTGCAGAGGAAAAACAGTAGTGAGACTGGGTGTGTTGTGTAGAAGCACGTTTGTTTGAAGCTAATATGAAAGTTAATCATCTGTCATGTGAAGGTGATGGTACAATTGAAAACATGAATTTGAGGAAACCGATTTGGAATGTTGCAGGAATGTAAACTGCTGATAGCTGTCAGCTATATACAGTCTCCACACCCTTCAGTGCAGCCTATTAACCCAGCCAGCTCAACTCCCGTGCTTGTATTTATCAATGGTCTGTCCTATTGGATGTCCTATTGGATGTTGTGTATCTTGAGTTCTATAAGGGTCCTTTAGTCTTAACAGGGACCTTATCGATGGCCAAATCCTAAATTAGAACAGCAAAATTGGTTGGTACCTGTAACATAAGCTTCAGTTGAGGCCCCTAAGGCTCCATGGTTTGCTTCTAAGCTGCCTTGTGAAGATTAAAAAGCTTGCCATTAAGCCTATGTTAATGTAGCTCAAAGCAGAAAAGTGTGGGCGTTTTGAGCGTATTGATTTCAGTTTTCACAGAAGTCTTATAATTGAATAGCCATGGAATAATAACATTAGATTATAATCAAATTCTGCCTTATTTTTGTTATGTAACATAAATTTCTTCGTTATATTAGATGAGAGTAGATCATGCAGTGGATTAAGTACTGGCTTTTCAGTTCTGACCTTGAGCTCCATTGTGACCCAGGTTAATAAAATGAACTTGATGCCAGACAACATCAGTTTGAACACTCTTGATCCAGGTTCTGTTGTGCTTGTGCTAGAGGTCAGTAACCTAACAGTGAACAGTGGATTTCTGAGATTGAGAATGTTTGCACTTCAGGTATTGTGAGCCAGGAAACGTTTCAAATTAACTCTTGATAACCAAAAATTTGTCATTTGTTAGACCTAGTATTTCATTACAATGGTCTCTCAATTCACACACGAACGCACCTTTTAACATTCGATGCTGCACAGACATCCTCATTGAAGTGGCTGCACAATCTCTAGAATGTTAGTGACCCCACCATATTTTTGCTCCCTCATATTTATCCATGGAAT